CTAGTTGTCTCAAGCCAGCTATGTATGACTCAGTTTGACCTTATTTATAAGATTAAAAAAATGTTGCTTGACCATGAAACAGTTTCATGGTCTTAAGTTCATTGTTTTATCTGTTTGCCCAGCCCTGTATTTTACCAACTGTGATGCTCTTAGTCATTTGTCTTTCATGATAATATGCTTAATGTAAGTGAGCCACAGTGTCATTATCCTCAGAGTTTAGGCACTATCTGAGTTTAACTAAGACTGATTTGATCATTCTTCAAACAATCCATAGAACATTCATTGTAAGTCTTCTTCAGTTTCTATCTTCTTTTTTTTTCATTGACAAATTTTCACATACATATGGGATGACTGGAAATAGCAAGAATTGAGTTATGTGCACCTTCTTCAATAAATCAACATTTTTGCATTTAAAATTTAAAGAAGTCTTTTGCAGCAGATCTGCTCAATATAATATGACATTTGATTTTATTGCTGCTGCTTCCAAGGACAGCAATTATTTGTACAAGTGGAAAAGATAATTGACAATTTTACCTTCATTTTTATTAGTCCATTTGTCAAGTTTTCTGCTTCTTTCACATACAGGAGTAATTCATATTGAAGGCTTTTTACCTCTAATGTGTAGGTGTGTTCATGTTATATTCATTTTTTTGCAAGTAAGTGTAATCGGAATGCTCCTTAGAGGCAAGGATAATGAAACTTCATCTCACTTATTTTAAGCATACTTTCAGGAGAAAGTAATCATTAGAGAGAGAACAGGTAGAGGTCAACAAAAGAGAAGATGACTTCCAAAAAGATTAATTGATACAGTGATTAATTACAACAATGGGCTTGAGCATGAGAGAATGTGACAATGGTCCTGGATATGGCAAAGCTCAGATCTGTTGTTCAGAGGGTTGCTGTGAGTCAGTCAACTCAACAGCACATTATAACAAAAGGTTGTTGTATCATTTGCATCTTACAGGTTGCCACTGAATCTTTCTCTAATGAAAAGAATACAATTTTCATTATATAATCCAACTTTTCAGATTATTTTTTGCTGTACACAGATTGAACAAGTTCAAAGGCAAAACCTTTCTGCACATCTATCCAGTCTGAATCACACAATATCACCTTGTTCTGTTCCAATATTATAGTTCACACGAGCAGTGTTAAACATTCTTAAATTCCCAAACTTTATAATTTAAACCATAACTTGTTAGGATTCACCCAGGCAAATGTCTTTGTATGGTCAGTAAAACATAAATATATTCCAGGTATTTTCCATTATTAGCCAATATTCATCTGACATGAAAAATTATATTCCTCATTCCGTTTCCTCTGCATCAGGCTTAAACTTCTCAACCATCCCTTGAAAGGAGAATTGAAATTAACAGCTGCAGTCACTATTGAACTATTTTCAACAAAATTTTTTCAGCATCTGATACTAGTGATCTTATTTCATAATTTGCTCTTTCTGTTTAACTGCTTTTGTTTGAGATGGGCTATGTGGATCTCTTGGTTGGTTGGCTAGATAGCTCTCTTCCAAATTTCTTAACATAAATGAGTAAGTGCTTCCGGCTTTGCATCTGCTTATTACTGACACATCTCAAATAGTATTCTAACTGGTTTACATTTAGAAGTTATTTGATGAGAATTTAAATCATAATACAATTTTTGCTAGATATATAGAATTTCTTAGGAAAAAAATGGATTTGTCCTAAATTACTACAGGAAAGTTATTTTGTCATTATTATAATATTTTAATGAGTTACTGTACCAGTAATGCATAACATATCAGGCTGCTAACCAAAGGGTCAGTTATTCATAATCACCAGACACTTAATAAAGATTTACTATGAGTTAAAATTCCAAGAGGTTTTCATTCTTTCTTTTAAGTAGAATAATAATTATTATTATTATCATAAAAATAAACAAACTGTTGTTTGCCAAGTGAAGTGTACTATATAATATCTCTTCTCGAATTATTTTAAAAATGTGTATATTTTGATTTGTAGATAACTTTAACTCAATGATAGAATTGTCATAACACTCATTAAACTTTCCTCATGCACTAAAAGATTTTATAAAGTTTACTTTTTTACAAATTTTCTTCTAACAGCTATAGAAATTGCAAGGTTTTTCTTGATCTAAATTTAATAGTTCCTACAAAGGTTTAGTATATGTTATATTGTGTTCTTAACTAAAAGGCCATATGTCTTTAGCAGTTTGAATCTGTAAACTGCTCAATGAGAAAAATCTTAATAGGAAGAGATTGATCATTACAGGCTTGGAAACCTAATGAGTGCTCACTATCTCAGAATCAACCCTAGGACAGTGATTTACAGGTTTAGGGACTTTTCTGTTTTGTTTTCATGGGAGGTTTGTTGTTGTTGTTGTTTTTAATTTTTAGACATTTCTCTTATAAATCATTTTATAGGAAATTCAGATTACCAAATTAAATTTTTAACCAGGCTAAGGTACTGATATATCAATGTCTAATTTCTAACATCAAATTACATTTTGAAATACATAATTTTCTCATACTTAAACAACAGAATTCTACGTGTAAATTTTATTTATTTTTTTGCTGATGTAAAATGGACTTTGAACAAAAGCAGAGACTACTAACTGCTGAGAAAATAATTTGAGAGTTGAATTCTATGTCTATGAATGTAGCATCAGGATCGAAGAATACTAATCAACATCCTGCTTTATGCAGATGATATAACTTTGCTTGCTGAAAGTGAGGAAGACTTGAAATGCTTGCTGCAGAAAACCAAAACCAAGATATGGTTTATATCTCAACATCTTGTTGTTGTTGTTGTTGTTGTTGTTAAGTGCCGTCGAGTCTCAGGCAACTCAGCGATCTAGAGAAGAAATACTCCTAATTGGACCAATAGACAAAATCATGTATTTTTGAAAAATGGTGGAGCTTGTCAATGATTTCATCTTAATTGGGTTCACAATTAACACCCAAGATAGTAGCAATCAAGAAATCAAAAGACATGCTGAAGTGGGAAAATCTGCTGTTGAGGGTCTCTCCAAAAGGCTGGAGAACAGTGATACCAGTTTAAAGACGAAGATCCACCTGGTTCAAGCCAGAGCCTTCTCAATACTTCTTTGTTCCTGATAGTCGAATAATGACTAAGGATGACAGAAGAAATTTTGACCTCATACCTTTGAATTGTAAAAGTGTACTCTACTTTTTATTTTCTACTTTTTTTTTTTAAGTGTACAAGACTTTAGTGTTGTAAAAGTATACTAAATATCCCGGGGACTTACCAAAAAACAAAAAAATATGTATTTTAGAGAAAGTGCAACCAGAATGTTCCTTTTAGGTAAGGATAGAGGAGCTCTGACTCACATACTTTGGGCAAATTGTTGAGAGGGGCCAGTCCTTGGACATAATGTGTGGGAAAGTGAAGGGTCACCATAACAGAAAAATATCCTCAACAAAATGGACTGACAAAATGACTGCAAAAATTTGATCAGAGGTGATGAAGGTGGCACAGGATCAGATGGTATTCAAATCCATTTTTCATAGGGCTTCTATATGTGATGGTCAAGTGGATGACCGTAATAATTATTAAAGATTAGTATTTAGAATCATTACTACACTTTGATAAATATATTGTTGTTGTTGTTGTTATGTGCCGTCGAGACGTTTGCGACTCCTAGCGACCCCTATGCACAACAGCCCTAAACCCTGCTCTGTCCTGCGCCAACCTCACAGCCTCTGATACACCCATCCCGATTACCCCAGTCACCGAATCAATCCATCTCATAGAGGGTCTTCCCCTCCTGCGCTGTCCCTCCACCCTCCCAAGCATGATGTCCCTCTCCAAGGACCCATTTACAACTTATTTTTCTTCATCATATTTAATTTCACCTTTTTATCATTATAAAATATTATATTTTATACACATAATAAAAGTAACATGTTTATCAATTCTTGATAAACTATACTCTTTTAAAATATTTTCTGTTAATACTAGACAGTTTTGCAGTCAAATTAATGTTTTATTAGGTTGGGGTATTGAGAGATTAGATTGCTTGCTTAATAGGAGGAGTAGTGAAATAATGAGAGTTGTGGGGTTTTTTGTTTGTTTCTTAGAATTTAAAAATGGGGGAAAAATCTTGCAGATAGACTAGTTCCTTTAAAAAATCCAAAAATATCATGCACTTGAAAACATGATTTATGTTATTCTTTCTACTCCATTGCTTTCTGCTCCTCTGCTAAAGTCCAAAGTCATTCCTCCTAGAGAATGATTAAGTAACAACCGCCTTTTGAAAGTAGTCTCTTTGATTCCCAGAGATTATATATTCCTTTTTCCAAATGCTTTGTATAGGCCTATCCACTTTCTATTACATTTATATCTGTAAAGCAAAATTCTCTACTATTCCATCAATCTTGATTCAACAGACCCTGTGGGGCAGAGAAGAGCTGATCCACTGGGTTTCCAAAACTATAGTCTTTATGCTGTGAGATTGGAATATGTTTCTCCTGAAGAGCTTCTTGTAGGTTTGAACTACCAACTTTCTGGTTAGCAATAGAGAACTTCAATCACTGCACCACCAGAGTGCTCTTTCTCTACACACACACACACACATACACACACATTAATAGATAACATATGCATACTTAGGAGAACAAATACATTTCTAAACATAGGTGATAAATTAAACTCTACAGAAATTAATACTCTAAGAAATTTTCAAACATCAATTAGCCAATTTTATTATTTTATGTTTCTTTCCTGCCAGCAGATATACTGGCAAAGATATACTACCAAATATGTAAAATATTTCAAAATGTTCATTTTATAAAACTACTAAAATCATTATTTGCATGTGTTTCAGTGTAGCAAAAATACCTCCTTTATTTCTTTATAAAATATCGTATTTCTGAAAACGTATCTTGTACTCTAAGACCAAGCAAACATATCTTATTTTATAAACAGGAAAAAGAAGAAAGGGAAGTTAGAGAGTGATTTTTTAAATTTTTTTTTTTTACTTACGGAAGGCTCTATAAAATTCTTCAAGTGCAAGGTGCTTGTCAGTGTTAAAATCATCATATTTCAGTAGATCATACAAAGTACAGTCAGATAGATCCTTGTTAAATTCTTCCTGTTTGATTACCTAATGGAAAATTAGAAATATACATTTATATTGTATCTTCACATTTGTATGGTATGTTGTTGTTTACCATCGAGTCGGAACAAACCCATAGCTGACCCTCCGACAGGTGTTCAGAGGCAGTTAATCACATAGGAGGAAATTGTCCATCATTCTTCCATGAAGTAGCTGGTGGCCTCAAACTGCCTGCCTTTGGAATTGCAGCACACTTCTTCCCACAAGGCCGCCAGAGCTCTTTTTATGGTATAATTCTTTATAATAATCATTTAACCCACTGTTGAAAGGTTAACACTGACTCATTTAATATGATGGACTTTTATTTAATGGACAACTGTTACCATTTGAAAGGTAGTCAATCAAGATTGTTATCATTGTTAGTTGCCATTCAGGTGATTCAAACTCACAATGGCTTTATAAGTTGCAGAGTGGAACTGGTCTTGATGGGGCTTAGAAAGTTCATCAGTCATATCTTCCTTAGTGGCTCTAGGTGGGTCCTGTCCATCAACTATTTGGCTAAAAGTTATTAAATGTTTGCCTCACACAGGGAGACCTTCAATTAAATAGGCATGTAGAATTTAGTTCAAACACTCTAGTACAAAGTTCTCACTGGATGACACAGAAAATCTAGGCAGTTTGTAAAAGGACATTCTGTATTATAGTCATTTACTTCCTCCATTTACCCTAACCCCAAAAAATACCTCCATTTGAAAATTGTCTCCCATGTCTCAATGACCTTTCTTAAAATAGAACAGTTCTGTTTCCAACACAAATTTTTCAGTAGCTTGTGTCAACTTACTTCCTCATATTATAAGTGAAAAATGATGTCAGATTATTTTTTCTCCTCTGCCTATGCCTGAACTCCTCCCCTGCTGAAAGTTAAACCATTCGGGACTATGCATTAACTCCCACGATCACAAAGGAGCTATTAAGCAAATGATTGTTTCCAGGCGCAAGATAGAATTAATGCACCAAGTGATGATGAAAACCTATTCAGGCATGAGTGAAGAAAACCATCAAATGGCTTTTCGATCTGTGCTGTGTCCTTTGGACTGCAGCTGAACTTTTTTTTATACTCTACTGCTTTTGACTATTGCCTGCCATCTAAGTCTGTTCCCCAGGATATTTCAAATATCCTTATTTCTGGTGAGTAGTAACACATCAGGTTCTACTGTCTTATAAACCTTTCCACTTACAGAAGAAGTAATTTCTATTTCATACAACATAGCCTACTTTTAAAATAGCAGATGATGTGTGATCAGGGAAAAACAAAGAAAAACAGGCTTCAAAGTCTAACAATTCTACATATAAATCTTTCTAATGATTTGCAATATTTATAATTTGGGGTTATCTTTTAACCTTTCTTCAAATATAAAATGAAAATTATTACATATTATTACACAAGTCATGATTTCTGAAGTAGTATTAGATAAGAAATAAAGTCAAACGCAAAAGCTGACATATAAAAACTCAAAAAATGGACATTTAAATTTAAGAAAAATGATTTTTATATAAATTACACATCACATTAAATTAGTTCATAATAGACTTTCAAAGATTAGCTTGTATATTTTATGGTTATATACTGACAATAGGTTATTCTTTCTTTTGATGTAGAACTGTTTCAGGCTACCTTTGTTTTATCAATTGTAGGCTGGTGATCTCTGGATGCTTGTGACCTATTCATTTAACCCTTTTTTGAACTCTTGTATGGTACAAATGTAGTTATATGTGAGTGCGGGTAAGTTGTAGAGATGAAGCTGGAAATGGAACCAAGCATATGGGATATTAGAGCCTCCTGCCTCCCTCTCTAGCTGCCTTAGTGGTGATATGCAACATGAGCATATGCACTGCTGAGCAGTATTTTTAAAATATAGCGAGTTTTCTGATCTTGTGCATGATTTTGAAATTTCTTCGGTTAAACTGACATTTGCTGCCTTAGAGAGGGAAAAATGGTAAAAGGCTTATCGTCTTTAAATGAACCATATAAATAGATACTGCAGATAGCAAGTACTAAGCCCTACACTATTCCACAGTCCAGCTGGAGGGATTAATAAAACTATCTAAATGACTAAAGCCATCTCTCCTATAAGCCTAATGGGAAAACAAAATACTGCTTTTCTATTTAGAAAGCAACAGAGCTCTGAGTCGTTCTCCATCTGTTATGTGTTAGATCATGGAAAATGACTTTCCCCGGAGAGCAGTTGGGAGGGGAAGAGTTTATTTGATCTCACCTCACTATTGTTTCTATAAATATCTCCAATGTCAGTATTATAAATTTTAGAAAGTAGTAGCACAAAATATATCACTGAACAATATTTTATAGTGATTTTTAAACATGATTACTATTTTTATCATGCTTTTGCAGTCAAGAAATCAAAAGATGAATCCCTCTCAGGAAGGCTGCTGTTAGGGACCTCTCAAAAGTGCTAAAGAGCAACAATGTCTGTCTAGAGACTAAGGTATACCTGATTCAGGACATGGTTTTTGTAATTACTTGTTATGCATCAGAGAGCTGAACAATGACTAAAAATGATAGAAGAAGCATTGATGCCTTTCAGTTGTGGTGCTGGAGGAGTCTTGAACATACCGTGGACTGCCAAGAGAACAAAAATATTTTTCCTTGAGAGGGTGAAACCAGGTTGCTTCTTGGAGGCAAGGAGTATGAAGCTTCATCTCACACACTTTGGGCATGTGGTCAGAAGGAACTAGTCCCTGGAGAAGGACACCATGTTTGGAAGGGTGGAGGGAGAATGAAAGAGGGAAGACCTAGGGTGAGATGGATTGACATAGTAACAGGAAAAATGGAGTTAGGTGTATAAGAGGCAGTGAGATCTGTTGAAGATAGAGTAGGGTTCAGAGCTATTGTACATAGCATTGCTATGAGTCACAGGTGACTTGATGGCACATAACACAATCAACAATTTTCACTATATTGGGATGGAACACAAAGTTGGAGGAAAAAGCTTTTCTAATATAAATGTTATACATTTATATCTGTTTCAATAGTCACATTTTTTTCATATTAATATTACGTACTAAGCCAAAAGAAGAAATGAGAGCATTCCTTCTCTTTTTCTCCTGAATATTATCTCTGGTAGAAGACTAGCTAAAGGAAGCATCAGTGTGTCTTTGATTTGACCATGATTACACAACTAAGCTAGGCAAGCTGTTTTGCTGAATGCGAACCAAATAAACTCATTGTTCTAGCTAATAAACTTTCTGAAGAAAAACCCCTGCTTACTTATCCTGAGGAAAACATCATGCATAGGAGTTGAGCTATTCATTCCATATTTTTCAATATTTCAAATACATCATTTGAGTGTTTATGCTATATTTTGTAAAGAAAATAACCCACTTAAAATATCCTTTTTAGTAAACCTTTTCGATTTTCCTAGTTGTAAATTGTGATACACTCTGTAATGTCTGTAATGAGAGAGGTACTTTCATGTGGTTTGGAAGATAATTGGAATTTAAAGCTAATCCCATGTGAAGTGTTCCATCATTTAATAAGGCAGAATGATTAACAGGTAGGGATCTAAGTTCTGGTAGGTATGATGAAACATTGGATTGTGCAATTATCAGGATCATTGACTCTTGTATTCTCTAAATTGCCTTAAAGTAATTACAGTTTGTCAAGAAGAATGTTTCATAAGTAGATTTCCTTCCCAGTCAACAAGGCACTTGAAACAGTTGTCAAAAGTTTGGGTGCTACTCAAAAAGTCAGTAGTTCTAACCATTATCTGTCCTGTGGGAGAAAGATGTGTAATGTTCCTTTGTAAAATATAAATCCTTGGAAATCCTAGGAGATAGTTCTGCTTTGCTTTATAGTATCACTATGAATGAGAATAAACTCAAGGAAAATATGATTTTCTTGGTTAATGTTGCATGCCAACATGCTGGTCTATAAATGATGATGTAAACACTGAATTGGTTGCTCTTCCATAACTAACATTATAATGAATTAGCTTTCCATGATGTGATTGGTCAGTTAGTTGAAAGGGAGTTTCTTCACAGGTGTAGAGTGACTCCAGAGCCTAAGGAAAGAATCTAAAAAAAAAAAAAAGAGTTGTTTTTTCTTGTTTTCTTTTCTTTCTACCTTCTCTTATAGTGGCATTCCTTTCCTGGTACCTAGGGATGCAGATGTCTCTGGTCTGATGCTTGACTTTCACAATCTGTATTTGCCAGCCCTTCACAAACTTTTGAGCAGCAGCATGTGCCCTGAACCTGTTCACGGATCTACGAATACTTGGTTTCCCATCTTCTTTGATTCTGTCAGCTATTTTCTAGAAGTAAATCATATATTGTTTTTAGGTGTTTTCAAGTTCGTTCCAAATCATAGTGGCTCTATGTATAACTAAAAAAATCCTGCACTATTTTATTCTGCATCGTCCCATCAATCTGCTGTGTTTAAGCTCATTTTGTCAGTGCTGTGTTGATCCATCTCATTGATGACTCTTGTGGAGAATCTTCTCCTTCTTCAATAAGCTCCTAGTTCCCCAAGCACCTTTGTCCAGTGACTACTCCCTCCTGAAAACATACTCAAAAGTTTCTCATATGAAGGTTCACAAAATTAAAGAATACTACCACACTTCTTATAATACAGTTTTATTCACTCTTTTGCCAGTTCACTGAATATTCAGTATTCTTTGCCAACACTATACAAATACATCAATTCTTCTGTCCTCCTTATTAACTGTACAACTTTTACATACACATGAGGTAATTAAAAAAATAGTATAGTTTGGGCCAAGTAAAAAATAGTCTATAAAGAGAAACCCATGGTATTGAACACTGTAAGAGGCACAGGGCAGCAGATTGGCCAAATGAAAACATTATTTCATTTCTGAACTGCTGCTTGATTCATATGTGAAGATTGTGTCTACAAATTAATCATTGACAATTTAAAACCTTTTTTTTTCTAATTACAGTTATACTGCTTATTGGTCCAGTTTTGAGGATTATTTATATTATTCTGTGTTGAACTGTAATTCTTACTGAAGGCT